CATGTTTCTTTCGTTCGGAAAGTTTTTTCTTTCTGAGTTTTTGTTCTTTGGTAGCCTAAAGTTGGACTATTTTTGTTGGTGATTATAAGGGGCAAGCTCTATAGTTCAGTATCCCACTTCTGATCGTTGCGTAATTGTTTTATTCAAGCACTTGATTAGTTGCTGAGTGAATATCTTAATATGTTTCATTGCGTAAGGATCAAATTAATTAGAAGGGAAAGTTTGAATTTCTTGAAAAAATTAAAATGTTCTTTGAAATGTCATTTGTTGATAAACGTTCTACTTATTAAGCAACTTTTGTTTTTATCTTTTTAGGCTTTGGAGGCTGAAAGATTGATGAAAGAGGAGGCCAGACGTCTTGAAGTAGCAGAAATGGAACAGAAAATCAGGGAAGAAGCTGAGAAAATGAATAAGGAAAGCGAGTTTAAGCAAAATGAGGCGAATATGCGGGATAAAAGCAATAATGCAGGACAGGTAACTTTTGCAATATTAAAATCTTTACGAAATTTGTTGTCCTTATTGGGGCCTATTAAGTAGCTTGAAGTTTTGAATGATCTTTGTGAAATTTTCAATCTTTCGTATAAATGATATTTTTTGTGTTGGCCACTTGAGATTTCTTTTAGTGATTGAAAACGCTGTGGGAGGAGGGAAGGTCTGATGACCATGTAGATCCTCTCATACGTGTTAATTGCATACAGTAATTGTGAGCCTAGTATGTTTTTTAAAAGTGTTAATCTATTTGAAGTAAAACACACTAATTTTTTTTTCATGTTTTTTTTTCTGAATTTTAACTTTGAGTTTTGGTAGCCGAGATGTTTTAACTCACAACATCTGTTGAAATATTAATGGAGGAGTTATTCTAACTTTAAAACGGGCTATATTTCGCTGTTTTTAGCGCATTAATTTATTTAAATTTTGAAGGAAACAGGAGAATCAAGGTTAAGATTGAAGAGATTTAGTGGACAACTTTTTTAAATACCGATGAGAGTGTTTTCAGGAAAAGATCCATCGTGAGCTTAAGAGTGGACATCGGTGGGTCTCTAGACGTATAGATATAACATTGATCTTACGATCGGTTATAGAGAATAAAGATGAAATTTTTTTTCATTTTGCTGTTTTAGTTGTAAGTTTATTAAGAAGTTCCTTCTTAAAAATTAACATTATTCTAGATCCAAAACTTTTTTGAAGTTTTTACAGAATAGAGTGACTTGACTTTAGCTCTTATTGTAGTGTTAAAGAGATTTTTCTACTAAGAATTGCTTTTCGTATCTTCTACAGCCGTTTTATGAGAAAAGAGACTTGAGGTTTAACATATTAATTCCGCCAAGGGTTCTGTACACACATTGTTAAGAGTGTTTAGAAGCTTGATAGTAAGCGTTTTAAGGTCCGTCAAGGTGATGGATTAATTTGCAGCATTTTTGGCGTTTCTTGTGATTAATAAGACGGTCACACGGTAATTTAACTGGTAGGACAGAGCTATTTTCAGTAACCTTGGGCAAGTCCCTCTGAATTCTTTCTTTTGGTATATACGCATTTGGTTCTATATCTTTCTAGTATTGTAAGAGGAAATAGATGTAGGGAGTCAAAAAAGCCTTTAAATGGTCGTTCTGCTTTTGTTGCAAAGTTGTATTATTCATACATTTCTTCACATTTTTTTCCATTACTTTTTAACATACTTCTTTGAAAAATTTCTTATTGGGCAGATAAAACAATTTATTTATTCAAGGTAGCTTATCTGAATAATTCTTTGCAGTTGACGTCTGGTAGTTACAGCCTAAGGTGAACTAGTTGTACGCATAATATTAATATTTCAAAAATCACTGTTTAATTGAAGTATTTTTTGTTTTAACGGTGGTTCTGGTAACCCCTTGTTTGAGTTTTTGAAATTAACTGACCAATGATAATTAAAGAAGTATTCAGATGTTACTAAATTGAAGTACTACATCGTTTTTTTCCTCTTGCAGGTTTTTTCATATTTCTTTTATATATACGTAAATTTCTGGTGGTCGGGTGGGTAACTGTAGAAGCATCTTCTTTCATGGCAAAATGTAAAAGTTTTGGACGAATTTGATTTTAATTAATGTATTGTCAAGATGATTTCATTTATAAGTGAAGGTTAATAGAAAGATTTCATTGGCATTTTAAAAATTTCTGTGAAGGATTTTTTTGTTTTCTACGTGACGCTTTAAGCAGGTGGGTTTTGCAGGCTTGGCAACCCCATTTCAGTCGGACCGAGGTATGCGTAGGACGTCAGAGCCTAGCGCTTAGGATTGAGTAAAAAAATGGTGGAAAATATAGAAAATAGAAAAGCATAAGATGTTGCTTTGCTGATCAGGGATTTTACAGTAACTGAATTTGTAGATCGACAAACGGTGTGGCGGGAAGGATCTTCAGAGGGCCATACCATTCCTTGATGTTCTAAGATGTTTCGGCATATTAGAACTTTCCTCGTAGCTTGAAAGGAATTTTCTTTACGTGTTAGTGAGCTATGATTAACTGCTGTAGCAGTTTTGTAACGCGCATTCGAAAAAATGGACAGATGGGGCAGTGCGAGACATCTGGCAAGTTGTAGGCTCTTTAGATGGAAAATATTTAGTAACTCTTCTGTTTTTGTCAAGGAATTCCTTTAGTCAGTTGTTTTCCAAAGGACGGTATTATTAACAAGGTGGCTGTATGTGCAATTGTTTCATCAGTAAAAAGCTAGGTGAAAATAAAAAGCTGAGGAAGAATCCTGTTTCCGTAGAATTACAATTTCTGTGAAGGTTACATTTTGCTGGCTTTATTCCAAGTTTATAGACTTGCATTTGGGTAGTAGACCTTGTGTCAGAATTGATTTCGAAGCCCTTATGGCTTGAAACTCGATGACCATTTAGGTTTTATTTGGGAATTTAAAAACGTTTTTTGATATACCCTGGGTTACTTTTCAAGTCATATAAAGAATGTAAGACTTTAGTGCGGAAGCACTTTTCAGATGGGACGATTTATAAAATATCTGTTGTAGAGGGTCCGGAAACAGAATATGTGTTCCGGGGAAGTTTGGTTCACTTTAAAGTTGAATGGAGGTAATATGAGTTTTAACTTTAAGATTTTCCACAGTAAAATGGGAAATATTTGTTAATTTTTGTGGAATTAATTTAGACATTCTCTATTTCCTTTTTGTTGTTTGTATCGTTTGTCAAAGACTTTTATTGTTTTATGTTTAGTGACTTTTTACATCTCATTCAATTACCACAGCTAATTTAAATTAATGTGAATAAGCTTCTGACACTTGATAAATTAATTTTCATAACGTACGAGCAGTCTGTTAATTTCCCACTTCCATTGTTCATGCTGCTTTGTTATTAATATTTTATTAATCCAAGTCTTTTTTAGTTCCCTAAAGATATTTACCGATGGCAACAGTAAAATCTGTAACTTTTCTTTTTTGAAATTTATTTTAGGAAGGATACAACAAACGTGAAGAGGAAGTAACTTCTTCAAACTCCCTGAATCAGTTATTTTCCAAGGACGAGGTTTGCGTGGCTACACCTACACTTGTTGTTTTTCCAATTTATTTCACTCACTTTATTACAAAAATTTTATTAAGCAAACTTGACGCCAGCTTTTCTAACAATATTAAAAAAACATTTCTGTGCTTCATTTCAAGTAAATTTAGGTAGACGAAAGTATTTCGCAGCAAGATGACGATGATTTGTTAGATCGAATTTCACCTTTTGATTTTGGGATTGATGTACGGAAATGTTTGGTCATTCTATTTTTGAAGATTTATGATTCTATTCAACCTGTATTTTTTGATGATAAGGACTGTTTGTTAAGATTTTGTTTAGTTTTTTAAATTTCGTTTAGCAGTTGGAACTACCGCAGGGGCAAGAATCTTCAAATCTTGGACCTGGCAGCGCATATGATTACAATAAAATGATCAAGGTTTTCTGTCGTATTCTCTTCTATATCTTTTAAAAAATCAGTGAAAATTTAATTGTCAAATGTGCCCGAAAATCGTAACTTTTTTTGTTAGTTTGTTTAAAAGTGTTCTTGCAGTCAACTAGATGTTGTGACTTTTACACCGTTGTCTTTTTTTTTGTTTCCAGGATTCTCCTCGCGGCCATTGTCAAGGTGATTCGTCCTTTACGTTACCGCAGCAGTCACCAGCCTTTTTACAAGCGGTGGGTCACTTTTTCTAGCTCTGAGTCATATATTTGTGGGATATGTAATAAGGTTCTGCTGGCCAAGGACGTGAGACGTTGTAGTTTTGATTTTTTTAATCGTCATACATATCTGACAATTTCTAGCTTTTTACTAGGGTAAATTTGTGTTAATTCTTAAATATAATTCTCCCCTCAGTTTCATGCTTTACTATCTGGACACCTTTAAGGATACTTCTACTAAGTCGTTTTCAGATGGAGCTTACTTTGTGCATATGCCTCTTTGACCTTTTAAATTTCTAGATTTTGCCTTATTCTTGCAATTTTTGACACATTCGTTTTCCTGTTAATGACTATGTGAGGTAGTTGATTCGTTTCTGAGCGCAGGGTTAAGAATTCATGTTTTTTGTTTAATTCAAAGAGTAAAGTTTCTGTATTATCTAAGACTATATTTCTTTAGAAAAATTAGCCTAGTATTTACCTAAAAAAAGCTATAACAGCTAAGACAATTTAAAAGATTATGGTTTTTCCATTCAAAGAATGGTAATCTTTGACGTCTAAAAGTTCACAATTAGTGAGCGACAATCAGACATAGGGAAGCTTCCTTTGGATGGAGAGAGTGAAGTTGCAAGGAGAATAGTGTTGGCAAAATAACGATCTTTTCTTAATCATTTTATATTTTTTATATTCAGCATTCTTCTATGAAACCTACATATTCTCTTCATGCTGTGACTGCATCTCCGGCAGCACATTCATCTCCACAACTGGCCATTGCCTCACCTGTACATCGTCCGTCAGCTTCACCTTTCCAACAAAAAGTGGCGTCGCCTATGCAGCAGTCAGTTAGTTCTCCTGTGCAGCAAAAAATGTCAGTGGAAATGCAGGGCTCTAGTGCTTCACCAGTACATCAAACACTGTCATCTCCTGTACAGTGTCCGATTGCTTCACCGTTACAACAGATACCACCATCTCCGTCATCATCTCATGCCCAGTTAGTAATTTGAGACGCCACTTTTACATCTTAGTCATACTGAACTTTTTTTGAGATTGCTACCGGTTTCATACATGAGGTGTTTTGCTAATATGACATTCTTCTTTAGTTCAACTCGCTCTCATGCTTTTTGAAGTAAATGAAAGTTTTCAAAAGCAGTTCAGTTGTTCTCTACAATTAAGTTTTAGTACAAACTCAAATAGTTCTGAAAAGGAAGCGACTATAGAGTTAAGAAGTTAGGTTATTAATAGAAGTTTTCAGGTACAGTCAGGGAAACAGAACCTCAATTTTTCATAATTACGAAAACTGTCAACAGTTTCCGCCGAATATGTATCATACCGATGAACAAGTCAATAGACTTGATGTTACGGGATCTGAAAAACAGAGAAATCACGCAGAAAATTACCAACGGAATGTTTATCAATCAGGCGTTAATTCAGTCTTTCAGACTTCGTCATCAGGTATCTGCAACACCGTTACTAGTGGGGCTGTGCAGCGCAACAGCAGTCATTCAATGTACGCACCGATGTTGCCTCAGCAGCCACAGCAGTCTCAATCAAAGAAAATGTTTATGACTACTCAGCGCGGTGGTTATGCAGTACCTGAACAGAATTCTCCGGCAATAACTAGCTGTCAGTTTTCAACTCGACGCGATAGTTCGACGTTTAACAGTGACATTCAACAACAGTTTTCTCAATCACCTACGCCCGTTGTTCCAGCAAGGGCAGTAGGAACTCAGAACAATATTTCTCGGGAAACAAATAGTGGAATCAATAATATGGATACATTCTCAACTCATAGTACTCAAAAAGCAAGTAGATCTTTCACAGGATATCCATCATCAGCTTGTGGGAACAGCGCTAGCGAATTACATCAACGCCAGTCGAGTCAACCATCTATTTTCAGAAGCATGAACATGCAACAAAACCCGTTACTTGTTTCTCAACATCTGTCTGGGTTTAGCTCAGTTTCAAGTCCAAATTGTCATTCAGCAACTCATATCTCGTCATCTCAACAGCCTGTTTTTCAACAGCAATGTCAAGGAACTATCTACGATCAGCAGATGCAAAATTTTAGGTACCCGAGTACCCAACGTGGTCAGCAAAACTATGACAGTGCGCAGCAGTGGCAGTAATTACTTTTTAGAAATTGATCTCAAATTTTTCATAATGAAAGAAGTTTTTATCTAAGTCATCTTACAATTTTGAATGGTTCTTGTTCTATTGTATATTTTTTCCAAAGAAATTATTTTGTGTTCTGTTCTAATTTCTTCAGTCAGGGTCTCTGGAAGCTTTTGAACTTAGTAGTAACCAGGCTGTGAGTTGGGGACTTTTATGCAAGCCTTCTACTTCTAGAACTTTTAACTTATTGCTTCGACTTAATAGAGGCGAAGCGTGGCTGACTCACTGCAGTCTCGACTTTGTAAACTTGTTTAGTTTGAGTGCAGCTGGGGATTATAGATGTATGTATACACAGACGAGAATCGTTTTGAAATGACGGAGAATTGCTTCAGCAACGGGAGTAAGAATAGCAAAATGAAGAACTAAAACGGGCATTGGTTGCAGTAATGTTTGCTTTTTTGAGCTTCTGAATGTATTTGTACATTTTGTAATGAGCTTTGATCGGTGGAAAGCAGTCATTTTTGTACTGTATAATTGCTTCTCGAGACGGTTTCAGCTGCAAAGTTGAAGTTACAGTTTTAGCACCCTAAATTTCATTCTTTTTTTGTTTCGCTCTTTCTTCTGCGAAATTTTCTTATTTTATTTTGACTGCAAATATTGAGGTGGAGGTGCCCATTTTGGATCTTGTTGGAAAAGTTTCAAATTTTTATACTTGGAACTTTTCTGTTTTATCGTTTTTCTTGGGCACCGCTGTACTTTCCTCAGTGTCAGTCACAGTGGATGCTTAAGGTGTGCATTGACTAAACTCATAAATTGGTAAATTTACTTGTTCTGTTATATTTGAATTGGCGAAGAATTGTAATTGATATTCATTTTTGTTAAATTTTGGTGGGAGATAGCAGGCTACTTCGCTCACGAGATGGCGGTAACTGAAGGTGGTGCTTCGGACTACTTCACTTTCACAAATTGTTCATGTTTAAATGAGAAAACTGTGATTTCCAGTTGATGTATAGTAGCATAGTGAAGATACTACGCAAAGAGCTTGATACAGAATGACCTGATGATTTTTTTTTTT